AGAAGGGTTCTGATGCAAGTCATGCTCTCCACCTGTCACTAAGTATTTGTGTTCTCATAGGGTCTGAATAGCCCTGAATGTAATCATGAAGGACAAAAGTGCTCCGAAGGGGACCAGTCTATCCCAGAGTCGCCCCAAGTAGGCTGTCCCACAGCAGAGCACACCTGCAAACAGTGATTGACTTCCATGGAGAAGTTCAGGGTTAGCGTGAACTTGGCCAGGGACAAGTTCAGCTGCACGTGTCCAGACTCTTCATGGGACACCCAGGGGCCTCCACCACCTCCCTGCCTACCTCTCATCCATCCATGCCTGGCTCTCCACCTGCCTGTGCCCCAGACTAAAGAACGAGGAAGGCCTCTGGTCTCCTTGGGTGCCGGGTGCCTTCACTGGCCCCACTCACCACCCTTATCAACATGGATGGTCATGGATTATTCGTTGTCACTAGACTAGGAACTCCTTTCCGAAAGCACCAAATCAGGCTGACCCACTTAAGTTATGTTAACTATCTTCACGTAGCCTTTGGAGAGGGGCTGTCTGGGCCAGCATGTGACTACCACCCACAGCCTTGGCCATTCTAGAAACCATGATCTGTGCCCACAAGCCTATGCCTGGGTGGCGATAAGCACTGCCTCCAGAGGCCAACTGGCCAACCCCCAAGCCAGCTCTGCTCCTTAGGAGCTGTGACTAGGCCACATCCCTTCCTTCAATTGCCAAATGGAACAACAGAAGTACCTACCTGGTTGCTTGAGGACCGAGAGAACACATATAAAGCCCTAGAACAGTGCCTGGCACATAGTATGTGCTCAGTACATCCTAGCTCTTGTGTGGGGGCACGGTGAAGACCAGAGAAACCAAAGCATTAAGAAACCAAGCTTTTAAAGGCAGAGTTAACAGACAACCAACAATACCGTACTGATTATAAGACACTTTTCACATGCATTACCAGTGGTTAAGCTTCAAACAATCCCGTATTCTAGGGTAGTAGGTGGTATCATAATTCTCAACTCACAGGTGAAGAAACAAAGGTTTCAGAGAGGTTAAGCAAGTTGCCCAGGACACACAGCGCTGGAAATGGCGTTTTGCCAGTTCAAATACCGAGCTCTCCGGACCTGAGCCGCAAGGAAGACCAGCCCTAGGGTTTAGATGAGGCTGGACAAGCTACACCACCCCTCCGCCAGGGAGGCTGCCACCAGCGGGACGCCTTCCTTGGAGTCACGGAGTTCAACCACGAAAAGTTTCCCTAGGCCGTCCTGGGCGAAGCAGGAGAGCAGCGTGGAACCTGCCGGTGCACGAGACCAGACGCGTCGTGGACGGACACGGACACACACACACACACACACACACACACGCCGCCTCCCTGAGCCTCCGGCTCTGAAGGAGACCGGGGCTTGGGGAGCTGGAGCCGAGCAGCACCCGGACTTGCGGCCGGGGCAGCTCCTCCTTCCGCTCCCCAAGGGAAGGCTGGGCTGCAGCCCTGTCCGAGTCGGCGCGCCGGCCCGGAGGGGCAGCGCGGCACAGGGGGAACTCGGCGCAAGCCGCGCGCCGCGCAGGGGGCAGGAGGGGCGCGCCCCTCGCCTCTTACCTTCCTCATTCTCGTCGAACACGGGGGGCTTGTGGGAGTGGTTCCCGCCCATATTCCGCCGTGGCGCCTGCCGCTGCTACATGCCCGGCCGCGGCGAGCGGGGAGCGCGGAGCCGGACGCGGGAGCCGCACGCGGGACGCGCGGCGAGCGCCCCGCCCAGGCTGCAGCCGCGCGCCAGCCGGAGGGGGCCGAGCGCCGCGCAGGGGCGGGACCGCGCCCGCCGCGCCCCCTCGTCCCGCCGCCCCCCGCCGCGCTCGCGCGCCCGCCGCGCCCCCTGTGCGGGCGCCGCCGCAGCCCCGCCCGGAAGCCCGGAAGCCCGGAAGCCCGGAGCTCCCCGCGCCGCCGGCCAGCGAGCCGCGCGCCTCGGCGGCTGCAGCGGGCGCGGGACCGGAGGCGGCGCGGCGGGCGAAGGAGGAGGAGGGGAAAGAGGGGAGGGGCGGGGGGCGAGCGCAGCCCGGGGACGCCCGGAGGGGAGGGCGCGGCGGGCCCCCCGGTGGAGCGCAGCCGGGCGGTGGGGAATGCCGAGCTGAGGGCGGGGTGGGCCGGAGGAGTCGCGATCCCGGAGTAGGGGCGCTCCGTACGCGCAGTAAGCGATTTGTGAGCACCTACTATGTGCCAGGCCCAGGCTTAGCGCCTTATAAGCACCGTTCTCCGTCACCTCTTAACAACCCAACCGTTAGAAATCTAATTGTTCCCTGCTTTAGAGTCAGGGAGCCTGAGGTTTGGAGGGAAAGGAGCTCTCAGTCCGTCCTGGCTGCGAAGGGAGCCCCCAGGAAGCCCCTTTGGGCTTTATTTGCCTTTCGGGCTGGTACACCGGCAGTGATTCATCTACCCGTTCTCCAAAAGACGCCTTTCCTCTTTATGTTTTTCTAAATATTTAATGAATGAAAGTAAAGTCTAGACCTTTGAGAGCCCCCTTCATTCTACATGGGGAAACTGAGGTCCCAAAGGGGTGTGGTTTGCCCCAAACCATTGTCCCTAGGAGAGGAGTGCCTGGACATGCACCTTGGGATTGCCCAGAACTGCGCGGCCTCCGAGTCTGATGAATGGGTGGGTTCGAAATTGGGTGCGTGGGTCCCTGGCAGCGGGAGCTAGGGAGCCCGGATCCGGGGAGGAGACGAGCCCAGGACCAAGGTGCTAAGGGCTGGGTGCGATGGGTGCACCCCGAGGTTCGTGGGGCGAGCGCAGACCCTGGAGACCCTCCCTGAGGAAGGCGCTGGTTACCCAAGAGGTGCGGTCCCGCCCAAACAGCCCGACTGGCTTGGGGGATCTTTGGCCACATCCTGCCATCTGCTGGGCGCCTTAAGCCACTGTCTGTGCTTTGATAGAAAGCATAGGTTCTTTTTGAGTGTCCCCATCTTCTCTCCCCCTCCCCCCATCCTTCTTTCTCTCTCTGTCTCTCTCTCTCTCTCTTGCAGGCATCATGGGGGTCGGGGGATGTCCCTCTGTCTAATACAGCAAAAAACTCCCAGAGGCAACGGGGAAAAAGCTGAAAAGATGGAGCCAGCCCCATCCAGCACGACCCAGCTAGATTTAAGATTGGCCTAAACTGCCAGGCCTTGGGGTGGGACAAGCCTCATTTTTAACCTTGGAGTCCTTATCTGTGAAATGGGGAGATTGATAGTTACTCCCCAGGACTGCTGCGAGGATTATGTCAGAAACTATTTACAGAAGAAGGTAACAGTACCTGGCATGTAATAAATGGTCAATAAACATTTCTTGCCTTTCATTCTGCCAACAAGCCCTGATGGAGTGGCCAGTCTACACCAGGCAACAGACTGAACACAGAATAAAGACACACAGTACCTCAAGAGGCAAGGGGAGGAAATGGTCACAGGACAGGGTTCCAAGCCCTATTCTGCTCAGGTTTTATCCCACTTTTGCTACTCTCTAGCACGTTAACTTGGGTAAATTACTTAACCTCTTCTGGCTTCAGTTTGTTCATCTGTAAAATGGGGGTAATCATAGTACTTCCCCCTTTTAGGGTTATTATGGGGAATAAATGAATCGATGTTGGTGCCTGAAACATAATAAGCACAACAGAGGTGTTAGTTATGATCTCCAATAATGAGCTATCATATGAACTGTACTAACGGCTCGCAATTCTTCCTTCTCTTCCTATCCTTTCCTGCTTCTCTCACACTGCCGACGTGGGCTTTGCCATCGGACTTGCTTTGGCCAGTGGGATACGGGAGGAGGTGACGGTGCACCAGGTCTGAGTGCTGAAGGCCTTAAGAGATGGCACATGTTTTGGCTCTCTTGTGCTCTTGCTATCCACCTTGAGAAGAGCTGGCCCTGGGACCCTCTGTTCCCAGAATGAGAGATCCAAGGAATAGACCTGAACCCCCCATGTATCCTAAAGCAGAGCACGGGCCCATGATGAAGAAAAATAGTGTTTTTGTAAGCCACGGAGATTTGGGTGTGAGAGATGTTTGTTTCACAGCGTTATCAGAGAGAGAGCTGACTAATACAAATACTAACAGTCACACATGCAGAGACTACGATTGGGGGTTTGTGTTATGGTGGAAGGAAGCCCAGGAGGCTGTGAGAACACAGCAGGCACTGGTTTCAACCCTGAGAGTCAGGGAAGGAGAAGACCCCCCCAAAGAGAAGTCAGAGCACCATTCCCTCCCCTTCCTCCTTTGTCGAGTAAGCATTTTCTGGACACTTCTTGTGGGCCAAGCCCTGGCTAGGTGCTGGAGACAGACCCAGCCATGAGGGAGACAGGGCCTGCTTTCCCGGAGCTGAAGTTTAGAAGTCTAGTGTGGGACAAGAACAAGTGCAGAGTGGGTCACATTTTGACAGGAGGGGGTGCGGAGGTTATAAAAGCATGGACTGTGAGGGCAGAAGGGAGGTACCCGAACCACATGCCGGGCCAGAGAAGGCATCCCAAAAAGATGGTGCGTGAGCCGAGTCCGGAAGGGCAGCGAGGAATCAACCGTACGGCAAGAAGAGAGTCAGCCTCTGCAAAGTCCCGGAGGCCGAGACAGAAGGGCATCCTACAGAAGTTGAGAGCAGTTGCACGTCACCGGAACACAGATCGGCGTGCCGAATGGCCAGGAGAGCAACAACAGCGCCCATGTATCAAGCGCTCTCTGCACGCCAGGCTCTGGGCCACCACTTTAAGGATGCTTGGTCCTGCAGGCAACCCCTTCCCTGCTCCTCTCCCCACTTACAGAGAGAGTACCAGGCCCTGTTATTTCAAGCTCTTTTGTGGGTTACCTCTTGCAGTCCTCACGACAAACCTGGGAGGTGAGTGTCATTGTCATCCCTGTACTAAAGGACACACAAGCTATGCCAAGTCCCACTGATTGAGAAGTGGTGCCTCGAAGGTTTAAATCCACAAATTAAACACAGCATCAAAACCAAGAGAAAGGACATATGGAACAGGGGCTATTTCTGGAGTTGGAAAGTTCAGATTATTTTTATTTTTTTGAGTGCTTTTGTATGACTGTACAAATTGCTATTATAAAGAAGTATTTCGGGGCACCTGCGTGGCTCAGTCGTTAAGCGCCTGCCTTCGGCTCAGGTCATGATCCCCCCTTCCTGCTCCGCGGGAAGCCTGCTTCTCCTTCTCCCACTCCCCCTGCTTGTGTTCCCTCTCTCTCTCTCTCTGTCAAATAAATAAATAAATAAATCTTTAAAAAAAAAAAAGGAAGTATTTTATAATCACATTATTTTAATAATCAGTAAAAAAAAAAATATATTTTCATTTTGAGAAAAAAAAAAACATCCCATGGACACTAAGTTGCCCCAACTTTGCAAGGCATGTTTCACGGCCCATTGCTGTCCTTGCTGTCTGGGCAGCAAGGAGGTGCTACCATCAGCCCTACCTTCCAGATGGAGGAAAAGGGGCTCAGGGGATTCAAATGGCCGGTCCTCCATACCACAGCTCCGGCGTTCATCCCCCACGACTGCTGCAACCCGTTACCACAAACTTGCTGGCTTCAATCAGCAAAAATAGTTTCTTTCACTGTTCTGGAGGCCAGAAATCCAGCATCAAGTTGTCAGCGGGATGGGTTCCCTCTGGAGGCTTCGAGGGGGGCTCAGTTCCGGGCATTCTTTGCCTTGGGCCAGCAGGACGCCACAGGCAGCTGAGGGTGGGAGCCTTCAGAAACCCTCGTCATGACTCTTCCATCGTGAAGGGCGTGGTCGTGTTGTTCTGACACATCTGCCTGAATTATTTTGGAGTAAGCACATTTCTCCTCCACCTCCTAGCCAACATCGAGTGCTGGCCGGTCTCCTCAAGAGAGAATGGCTGAACTTGGTTTCAGCTGTGTTCCAGATGAAGCCAACTCCAGGTCTTGCCCTCTTGCCCGGCTCACATCCTGATGAGTCTCAGAATGGTCTTCTAACTCTGTGCAAAAATACATAAGCAAAATAAAAGCCGTCTGCTTCTCTGTGCCAAGCCTATCTGGCTTTCTCAGAAGGTGGACTTTGAAAAGATCATGATAGTTACGGTCTAAGGATTCTCCTAGGGACTGAGCGCATGAGTCTTGTGTTACTTCTCGAATCCCAAACATAAGCACAGAAGTAAGAACTGGGATTCTTTTCCTGCCTTAAACGTTCATGAGTTGATTCCTGGGGCTGCTATTCCTCTCATTGAGAACATGATTAAGCATTCATGCTTGGATCCAGAGGCTATAACCTTTAATTTTATGTAACACGATCGTGCTGTAGAGGCTAATGTGATTCCCCAGGGCAGGGTGTCTTGTGTGCCAAGCCATTTCTTAGAGTCTGCTAGATCAGATTTTGTTATCATTTCTGTTAAGTCTATTTTATTTAAAACTTGATTCTGGTTCACTTAGAGTAAATACCGTCTGCTTGCACTCGGTTTCAATATGTTCTGTTTGGCAGCATTGTACATTATAAACAAAAAAATGATAAAGGCTGTTTTGTGGCATACCAAGATAAGGCACAGTTTGCACATCCAGTTCTGTGGCTGGAAATCATCTCACTCAGATAGCAAATCATCCCTGATGATTTTTTAAAAAATAGTAATTTCAAGAGTAACCTTTTTATTGTTAAGAGTCTTTGTGTGTGTATGTGTGTGTTCTTGCACAAAATAAGGGTCCATACATCGCTACTAATGTGGTGTGTCTGCATTTCTTGGCATTATAGCACTTCCCTGGAGGCATTTTCATAGTTTGGAACTTGGTAGACCAGCAAGTCTGAGCTTCTCCTTCTTACATTAAGACAATTTGCATAGTAGCTCCATGGTGACCTCAAATTAAGTGTTTGCAGAGAATTCTAGCTGTAATGTGAAACAGGCTGGATCAGAAGGAAGTCTCTGTAGCTGCCAGATGCAGCATCTGTGGGGTGTGTTTCTTTGTGTTCCCACATGGGTTTATAGGGATTCTTAGAGGCTTAAAGGAGTCGTCATGAACACTCTAAAACTGTACTTGTATGTGTGCATGTGTGTGTGTGAGTGCACATTTGAATATTTTTATGGGGAGACAGTTAAAATCTTCCATAGTTACTTCAAAGGCTCCATGAATCCACCCCTCCCCACCAAAGAAAAGGATCAAGAACCACTCATCTATAGAATAATTTACATCACAGAGAATACATTCTTCTCCTGGAAAGCAGAAGCCACACGTTGCAGGAGTAATAATAACGATTTACTGAAAGACACCGTGGTCTTAAAAATTGTACAGCCACTGACTTACTATGGAACCTCAGATAAGCTACTTCCCCTCCCTGGGCCTCAGTCTCCTCATGTGTAAACTGAAAGAATGAAGGAGTTGGGCTGTATGGCAAAGACTTGATCTTCGGTATCCATTTGTCCCTTCTTTTTTAAAAAATACAACACACATAGCCAGTTTTAGTTGAGCACAGGCTAGAGACTACATCTCCCAGCTTCCTTTGCAGGTAGGAGTGGCCATGTGACGAAGTTCCAGCCGATAGGATATGAAAAGTGATGTGTGTGACCACTACACCCTCCCTTCCCCCTCTTATAGGCTGTGATACAGCCAAGACAGCCGGAGCCAGCTTCAGCCCTACCAGAGAGGACCACACCCTAGGAAGTAAGAGAGCAAACAGAAGGAGCTTGGGGCCCTGGTAACCTCGTGCAGCAGAATGCCCTACTGGACTTGGGTGGCCTGCCTACTTCTGGATGGTTAAGAGATGGTGCACTCTCACAGTTAAACTGATTTGAGGATTTCTTTTGGTTCAGCCCATTACTTAACTAATACAGACAGGATGAATGCCAAGGTCATCATTGTCATTACCGTCGTCTTCCCTGACATCCTGAACAACATAGGCACATAACAGACATGCCCACAAACACGAAGAATTGAATGAACAAATGTACCATGGAATGGGTTTAATGGGCATGTCAGAAATGCAACAGGACGATTCACAAACCAGATAGAAGATGGATGAGGTCATGTCAAAGTATCCTTCCAATACTAGAATTCTGTTATGTTGCTCCTCAGAACTGAGGATGACTTGGAAACCCAGTGGTGACTGGCATTGTCTTGGCCACATGTCTCCCAAACAAAGGATGGGGAGGCGAGGCTCTAAAAGAGATCAGAGAGACGTCACATGGCCTCTTCTCTCTCACCATCTGTGCTGCTCCTTCCAGTTGTTCACTCATTCACTCAACAAACATGCGCTTATTACCTGTCCCGCACCAGCAGGTACAGAAAGGAACAGGTCCCTATGCCAACCCTCATGAACTAATGAAGAAACAGTGCCGTGGCAAATAAAAGCAGTGCTGTGACTGAGTAGACACCGAAACGGGTTGACACAGGAAGACATTTTCAGCTTCGAGTCTTCAGAGTCTCCCCAGAGTTGGTCTGGAGAAAAGAACCATCTTTATGTTCCCCGACTTTAACCTGGCCAGGAGCTCTTGGTTTGCTTTGGGGAAGTTCGCCTGGAGGACCTCATTCTCAGAGTCCTTAGAGCATCCTCAGTCTGGGGCCTCTACTTCTGTCTGTCTCATCAGGCATGGCTCATCTATTAGCAGGGAGCCTGGGGTTCTGGTGAGGTTAGAGATCCAGCTGGGACAAAGAAGAGCCACCTCTGGTTGTTGAACCACTCATTCATTATTCGGTCACTCAGCTTGAACAAGTCATCTCCTTTCAGCTACCTCATTTGTAAAATGGGGATAACTTTTCCTATCTTACGATGTTATTGTGAACTTCAAATAGCAAGGCATGATACATACAAATACTGCTGGTTTGGTAGTTTGGTAGCATGAGAAGTATTGCTCTGGCCTGACAGTTCTCAACAGGGGTGATCTCCCACTAGGGGACATTTGTCAACATCTGGAGACATGTGTGATAGTCCTGGCTGAGTGGGGAGAAGCAGTGTTACTGACTTCTAGTGGAGAGAGACCACTAAACATCCTACAAGTGCAGGACGGCCCCCCACCACTGGGCGACTCTGCTGTAGTCCATCAAAATACCAATTTCAACACGATACATCCAAACTTGCTAGAGATCTCTAGTGCACTATTTAAAAAGCCACCCTTGCCTTGGTATTTAATATATAATTATAAAAAGTATTTCTGTGACTGTCACCTGGAATTTTGGAAGATTTTGCCTCAAAATACCAGCAGCAAGTTTCAGTTCCTTCTGTCCATAAATGATTGGTTGCTGGCAGAACCTGATCCTCCTCTCTCAGGTCCACTTGATTACTCATCAAGAAACATCACCATCTTCTAGTCTGGCCTACAATTGTGGAGTGTATTTTCTGACTTTGGAGACACCTGGACCCAATTCACATAATCAAAACCATAAGGGGCCTGCTGTGTGGAGAAGGAGCAGGGTGTTTAGGATGATGATTACCAGTGTGAGTTGTGATGATTATAGCATTTTTTTCAGCCAATATTCATGAGCATCTACTACATTCCAGGCGCTGTGCTAAGGGCTGGGCATTCAGTGGAGAATAAAACAAACATGGTCCTTGTGGTTTTTGTACCTCGCTGCTTTCAGGCAGCTCTAGCCTGTATTATTGTAATTATACAAACTTTTGAGATAGGCAGGAAGGGTATTTGTCACAGGTGAGATAGTTACACTTACAGACAAACTCAAAATCAGGATTCTATGTCGAAAAGAGCAGAATGAACCCTCGGTCCGATAAGCATAAAAAGAGAGTATTAACAGATATTCATGGGCGCCTGGGTGGCTCAGACGGTTAAGCGTCTGCCTTCGGCTCAGGTCATGATCCCAGGGTCCTGGGATCAAGTCCCGCATCAGGCTCCCTGCTAGGCGGGGAGCCTGCTTCTCCCTCTGCCTCTCTCTCTCTCATGAATAAATAAATAAAATCTTTAAAAAAAAAAAAAAAAAAACGACCAGATATTCATTAGCTTACACAACCTCTGGGATGTCCAGAGAATCGAATGGGACATGATGCAGCCGGGAGCCGTGATTATAACACGCCATTGAACGGGCGGCACACGTGGTCCCATTGCTTCCAGGCACCAGCTTTGGAGATGCTGAGCAGGAGGTACAATTGGTGCTGCCATCAATTTCTTTCCTCTGAAGCCAAATCCCCTTTGGTTGCTCCTGATTGGTGGGGTCTAGGTCACATGCTTCCATTCTACCTGTAAGGGGAGCTGGGAAATTGAGTTCTGCTCCTCCATTGGAGACGTAAGGAGAACTCATCAAGTGGAGACTTCCTTCCCCAACGCAAAAAGCCATTCAAAAGGTAACGGGCAGGCACCACGATGACATATGTCCAGTTGAATGGCAACTGCAATGCAGAGTCCCCACTCCTGTGATGAGCAAGGCACAGGCTGTGAGGGTTTAAGTAGGTAGATGATTGCAGATGACCTCCAATTTGTTCATGCTTTTCTGCACTTCCCACCTCCACCAACCAAGAATTCTGTATCTAGCAAAATTATCCCCCAAAAGTGAAGGAAGCAGACTTTCCCAGACAAACAGAAACTGAGGGACCTGCCCTACAAAATATGTTAAACAAAGATCTTCAGCGAGAAGGAAAAGGTTATGGGTCAGGAACTCAGATCTACATAAAGGAAGGAAGAAGATTGAAGAAGGAAGAAATGAAGACAAAATAAAATCTTTTCTTCTTAATTGATCTGAGAAGCATTGTTTGTTGAAGGGAATAAGAGGAACGATGTATCAGGTGCTGGCCACACCAGGATAATAAGATGAATGACGTATCACAGGTACGGGAGGGGAAGGAACCAGGGCCCAGAGGTGTTACTAGCCCAAGAACACAAAACCACAGTAAATGGCTGCACAGAGATTCAAACCCTGACCTCTTTGATCTCAGTTCTATGCCTTTTTCTCTCCATGAAAACCTCAGCTAAGCCTCCAGGAATATATGGGAATGAGCTCCAGGTCTTCCCTTCTGGGCCCCATTTCCCAACTCAGAGAAAGGAATCCCTGAGCTTTTCCATCATTGTTGGTGACAGAGCTGACCCACGTGAGCCACATGTCTGTGTGATAGTACCTGGCATGACAGCTCATTTATTGCAAAGCCTTAGAAAGATCTGGGACCATCTGGTAGACCTAGGGCTCTGGAGGTTCTGGCTGATAACCTTCACTCACCAGTAATCCCCACCACCATTGACCAAGTGCTTAATGTATGCCAGGATCTGGGCTGAGCATTTGACACATATTTTAGCATTCAGTCCTCTTACTGGCCTGTTTTCATCCCTGTTTTGCCAAACAGGAAAGGGAATCCAGAGAGGTTAGGCACCTTGCCTGTTATAGGTTGAATTGTGCCCTCCAAAAGACATATTCAAGTCCTAGGACCTGGAACCTGTAAACGTAACCTTATTTGGAAATAGGGTCTTTGCAGTTGTAATTAAGTTAAATGAAGGTTGTACTGGATTGAGGCCTAATCCAATAACCGTTCTTATAAGACGGAAATCTAGAGGCAGAGACACACTAGGAGAAGGCCATGTGGAGAGTGGCAGAGATTGGAGTGATGTCTCTACAAGCCAGGGAACGTGAAGAATTGCCAGCAGCCGCCAGAAGCTGGGGAGAAGCATGCAACAGACTCGCCCTCCGAAACCAACAAAAGGAACCAACCCTGCTGACATTTTAATTTTGGACTCATGTCTGGCATCCAGAACTGTGAGAAAATAAATTTCTATACCAGGTTGCGGTACTTTCATGGCAGCCACAGGAGATGCATACATCACCCAAGGTCACACAGCTGGTAGGATGCAGAATCTGAACTTAAGGTTTATTTAAAAGCCCAGACTCTAAGCACAGCTTGGTCCCACCTGCCTTGCACAGTAAGGCATGCTATAGCAGGAAGCGCTTTAGAGGTCACACCCCCTGCTGTTCTCCAAACTGGATTTCTGGAGCACAGCTCTGGATGATGGCAATCTCTTGGCCATGACATCAATTTGGTGTTTAAGAAACAATAAGTCTTAGGCCAGTCCCCCCAGAAGCAATCCTGAAAAGAGGACATAAATCCAGTGTTTTATTGGGGAGGTGACCCCAAACAACCCTCACAGGGGAATAAGGGAGTGAACCCAGGAAGAGAAGGTGTCCAGATTGGAACACTCAGGTATCACCTCCTTGGTGAAGCCCTCTCAGATTGATCTGGACAGAGTAAGTCCTTATCTCAAATTCAGTGCTCCCCCCCAAACTGTGCTCACCTTCATATCACAGAATGTATCATGCTGTCTAGAATGTGCAGTTTTACATACTTACCCCCGCCATTAGCCTAAGTTATTGAAGAGCATTTTCTTCTTAAATCTTCAAGACAGCAGAGAAGTTAGGGGGGTTGGTGATGAACAGACTATTTTTCCCAGTAGATCCTGAAGGTGGTGCACTTAGGTTTTGGGCAAGTTCCACAAAGCCACATGATGTGGGTGAAGGAACAGACTTTACTGGAGGAAGGGAAACTCATAAGGCCAAGGTCAGCAGGAGGGGTGACATCCCCAGAGAGGTATGCTGAGCCAGGCTCCTTTGCTGGGCATCTGGATTGCCTCTACCCTCCAGTGGAGGGACCCTGACCTCCATTGCTCTTTTGTGTGCAGGACAGGCAAAATGGCAACTCTTCCAAAGCGGGGATAATTTAACTCTTTCGGCACTCAACCAGATTTTGGTACCAGCTCTTAAACCTGTCTGGGAACGCCCGCTGCCTAGCACCCGGGAACTTCTGAGTCACCTGCTGGAAGCAGAAGCCCCTCCAGTTAGTGGAGAGGGGAGAAGCTGGCTCATGGGCTGAGTGAGTGAATGAATGAAAGGCAGGTAAGGCTGGATTGGAGTCTCTTTCAGAATCCCTTGCTCATGCTCCGTGCTATGCCGAGCTCTGAGGGGACTCACACCTTGACAGGTAGTGAGCCATCAAGATACCTTGGTTTATTTTTGCAGTCATTCACTCTATGTTCTTCAAAGTCTTACTTACTACGGGCTGTTCAAGGCAGGGAAGAAAACAGAAAAAAGAAAAAAATCTCCCTTCCTAGAGTTCACATTCTAAGGAAGAAAGTGGGCAATAAAGTAATCTTTTTGTTTTGTTTTGGTTTTGAAAAACAAAATATTTCAGGAGGTGAGAAGTACTGTAAAGAACTGAAAGCACCTTTATCACCCAGTCAAGCTGAAATACACTGATCCCAGAATGCAGTAGCTACCGTCAATCAGAATCTGGTAGAAAAGAATGTATCCCCTTCGGCCAAGGCAAGAGGGGCTCCTGCGCTGGACCCTCCCACTCTTCAGAGGGCCTGCAAATCATAAACACGCTCTTGGGGTGTGAAAGAACTCGTGGGGGCCTCTGTCCCTGGGCCCTGGCACAGCATGTCCCAGGGTCCTAGCCACAGTTCAGGACCCTGGGAACGCTTCTTGGCATTGATCTCCTGATAGCAAAGTGTGGCTGCACCCAAATGCTTCCAAGATTTGTAAGTTTTGCTGCCAACTTTAGAGACAGACACTGCTTTAAAGTGTGAGGAGGATTTGAGCAGCTTAAAGATTTCGTTTCAAGAAAAGACAAATGAGTTAATTAACAATGTGCAGCCTCTCTGCTCTGGAGTGCACTGATGCTGTAGATTCTTGCATAACAAAGTAGCGTTTTCCTGCAGTGCAGAGTATCCTTGTCTTGCTTCCTTTTGGTTCCAGTAAGTAGATCCAGGGGCACTCATGAACCTGCCAGGTACTGGCACAAATTGCACGGATGGTTTGGGAACATTTTGCATTATTAAAATTCATCTTATGATTATAGCTGGATATGGTAAGTCTAGATAAAATTCATTTGAAGGGTGATACAGATTCTTTATGTTGGCAACTAGATGGACATTGAACCCTTGATTTGCCAATAGTTTTATTTTGTAAAAATACTCGATGGGATTTCATTACATTTTCAAAGAAATAAATCCATTTTGATCGACAAAACTTTTATTTAAATTTTTCATTCTTCCATTTGATGTATATTCTGCCTCTTAGTTTCAATAGAGAATTTTGAATATTATAGGAGAAAAGTAACTGAAAACATTCATGAAGAATACTTTTTAAAAATTTGTACAGTTACTTTAATTTGTGTTTCTGATGCAAATACATTGTAATTTTGTACACTTTGAATACAAATATTTTCAAAGATCCTTTAGCTCAGTGACTATGAGTCTAAGTCTCTGCTGGGAATAGCCAGCCTCTCTTCCCTGACTGGGGGACTGTGGAGAAGGTCATCGAGAAGAATGACCACTGAGCTAAAGGTTGACCCCTGAGGTGGACCGGGGCACTCAGAGGCTCCTCATCCCCTCCCCTGTCCTTGATATGGGGGTTCTTCTTGCCTTCCCTGCTCTGCTCCTACAGGCTGCTCGGAGGACAAAGCTTCGAGCTAGTGATGTGGTGTTGAAAACACCTGCATGATATACAGAACTGAACCTAGTTAAGGCCTCTCTATACAAACTTAAGATTTGATGGATGGATGCCAGGATCCATTCGTCTTACTGCTGCCCAAGACAAGCCTCGTATGGAAGATCCCTTGCTTATTAAAACTGCCACTACCACCCTGGAGTGGCCTGCTTCTCTTCCACCCCTCCCCGACCTCTGTGTAGGGGGGCCAGTTTCAGATCATACCCGGGAAGCTCTGGAGAGGGTTGCAAACCAACAGGGACCCCTACCCAGCCCCAAGCATCCCCTCAGCCATCTTGCATCTGGAAATGCCCCCACTCTATTCTCCAACCTCGACAAAGTGCAGACTTCCTCCTCTACCTGCCTGCAGCCCTGAGGACATCGCATGGTCAGGCACCATGGACACGGGGAGCATCGTCCCCTTTTCCGCCATCTGCGTGGTCTGCTTTCACTGCTCCAGTCCCTACGAGCAACTGAGAACATTAGTCACCATTTTTCCATTCACTGAGCAATTATCGTGTGCCAAGTGTCATAAAAAGCTTGTTACAAACATTCATTTAACTATGTTAACCATCCTATAGAGACCATCTCTCCCTCTTTAACACGTAAACCGTAAGGCTCAGGAACTGGTTCATCCACTCACTTCTTTGGTGAACATGGGTGCAGACCTACCACGAAGTGGGCACTTCCAGCTCCTGTAAATCAAATCACGAAGGAAAGATGTGTGGTGCTTGCGATCTACTGGTGACATGAAGAGCTTCATTCTGAAATCCCATAGCTGGTGAGCGATCAAGCCGAGGCTCTCAAGGTCCAAATTCCAAGTACTCAGCCATGCACTAAAATGTCTCCCAAGTGGCATCTGGAAATGGAGGCAGACATTTGGAGACATCTGTGGAAGTGCTCCTGGGATTCTATAACCAAATTCAAATCTAAGCACAAAAATCCATGTCTAGCATCAGTGGAGGGGAGTTGGTGGTGGCCAGGGAGGGGAAAGCAGACACCAGCAGGAGAAAAAGTTCACTACGCCTCTTGCTACCAAGCCTACTGAAGACTTCTGTGATGAGGCTGCAAAGTGCATCTAGAGCCAGAGTCTGATGATGGGGCCTGGGCGAGAACCCCAAACGCCCCTCCAGCCTACCTCCCGATCAAGGGCTGGGGCCACCTTAAGAATCAGCTGGATGAGTGTGAAGTTGTGAGGACAGCTTCATTTTGCTTCATTTTGAGTGATGGCTCCTATGCGGATTACTCTGCAGGAAAATGTGCAGATTACTCTGCAAAATACCTGACATGGACACAAAGTTGTTTTTAAGTGTGATGATGCAGTTTTACAAGGCATCGGGTAAGACCTTAGTGGCGTCAGTAGTGGAAATGAGAGCTGTGTCAGGAAGCCCTGTAGGAGTGTGGTACTTATAAAAGTCACTGATAAAATTTGTTCTGCTCTGCATTCTTCAGATATATGGGAGGAAGGGAACGCATAAAATATTTCTGGAGTCAATCCCTATTGTGGGGTGCTCAGAACCCAGCCGTGAGCAGCAGAGGAGGTGTAAAACGGGGCAGAACAGTAAGCAAGCAAAAGTCTGTGACTTGTGTTAGGACACGTAAGTGCAAGACTCTAGGGGAGAACACAGCAGGCGGCTTGTCTTGCTTGGAGTCAGAAAATACTTTGTCAGGAAACAGACTATCCTGATGTCCAGTAGTCTGAGCCTGATTGCAGTAGGGCTTGGAGCAGGGAAGGGTTTTCCAGGCAGGGAACAGCATGCCAGGAGCCTAGGTGTCAGAGGGAAAATGACATGTTTCAGATGCATGTTTTAAAAACATTTGATACCTACATATAAGAGGATATTATTACAGTGCGCTCCCTAAGACTAAGAATTTCCATACATTTTTCTGGCTTATTTGTCAAAAGGCTAATTCTGTAGTTGTAAGAGGCACAGTTGCTGCCGAAAAAATCTCTGCTGAACAAATGAATAAGCAACCAAATAAGAGTCTAACTCCCCATCTAGCTGAAATGGAATTAGGAAGATCTATGTAACAGCGTGCTTTCTCAGTGACCTGTCTGGAAGCATATTCCGCCATCCGATTTTTTGCCAGTTTCCTTCTTTGTTTTGAAACATTTCAGTGGTATAATTTTATACTATGTTTATGGTCTCGCATCCCCTGTGCTACAGTGACGTTGGCTCAATTCGCAGAACACCCCATGTCTTTTGGAAGTCGGTGATAAGAATACGCAGCCCGCAAGTGAAGACCATATACAGACATCCCACACCGTGAAGAGCATCAGCTCTGGGATTCAGAAGACCCGGGTTTTGTGGCCAGCAGCGTGACTTTGAGCCTCGGAGCTCTGAGTGTAGATGGGGATCGGGGGCTCATCTCTCAGGAAGGCTGTCAAGGGAGAAAGCACTGGAAGAGGCAGCCACAGATGCTCAGGAATGGTATCTCCTCTCTAACTTTCCTTGCGCTATGGCAGGAGCAAAGCCCCCCTCTTGGAAACGAGGGCCTCCTCCTGAAGGAGAAAGGGAACTATTCAAAGAAAGAGGAAAAAAAAAGCAGGAGGGCATGCTTGACCCTGCTCACCGTGCCAGCAACCAGGCGGCTGAGCCAGTTTCTGAAATGCTTTCCGCCTGAGGGTTCAGTTCCTCGCGCCCACTTCCTGCCCGGGGTGTGTGTTGGCTCAGAGGCTTCCTGAAAGGAGAGAGGCCAAAGCACTCAGAGAGCTTCCCGAGGGAGGAAACCCTGACTTCACAGAAGCTGGAGGCCGTGGGAGCTGGAAGGCAGAGGGGATGTCAGGGCCCCGCTGGGGATGCCGGTTCGCGGAGGCGGTAGACCGCACGGGACTCCAGGTGGTCTTCCACGTTGGGGCGCAACAAAGGGCATCGTGTATTCATTCAGCCCACCAACCCTCCCCGTCCCCCCGCTAGGCGCACGTCTGGGGCGGTTCCTGGGGTGGAGACAGGCGGGCCCCAGCACCTCTGTGGTCCTGGATGGAGGCATGTGCTGAGGGTGCACTGTGTTCCTGGAGCTGAAAATCACGGAAATAATAGCCGCCAACCCACACTGCTTACTCTGCACCAAGCTAAGGGCTCTGCATAATTGACCACTGAATCCTCTCTCAGCCCTGGGGGCCACTGGAGCTGTCTCCATTCATAGGCGAGGAAACAGAGAGCTTAAGTCAGGTAGCTGGAGAGTGAAAGCCACTCCAGGCATGGAGCCCCTCTGCGAGCCAGAAATGCTCTGGTCCCTCAGTTCTAGAGTGTGAGCCCTCAGTTGGGCTCTTCGGTTGGATTTCCAACCTCTAAACAAGCTGGGCCTCTAAGGGAAAGTAGGATGGTGGGTGCCAGGAGCTGGGGTCGGGGGGACATGGGTGCTTGGTGTTCAAGAGCTTCAGTCTGGGAAGATGTCTGGAGGTGGACAGTGGTGATGGCCGTATAACAGTGAGAAAGTGCTTAATACCACCGACCCGTTCACTTAAAAATGGTTAAAATGGTAAAAAAAAAAAAAATCATTTTATGTAAATTTTGCCACAATAAAAGTTGTTTTTCACGGGTACAGGGGAATAGAGCTGAGCTCTAGAAATGCTCACCACATTGCACAAGAAATGGATCCTCTTTCATTAGAAAAGGAATTATTAAAGATAGAAGCCAAGGTATAGATTTTCCATAGATCAGGGGCCGTAACCAGGTAGCAAGTCCCAGGTTTGAGATTTAAAAGAAGTCTGGTTTATATGTATGACACTCTGATACAATCAGCTACCTGTTCAGCTAAGTCAATTCCGTTCGCTTGTTCAAAACAAATGTGTTGTGTGAATCATTCAGTGTCCTGTACGCAAAATCGGGGAGCGGGGGGAACCTGGGTCTCTGAACATAATCTCTAATACAACAATGTTATCTGCTAGCAGCAGGGAACTTTCCAGGTGCTCAGGAGACGGGGTCTGGGAAGGGAGATTACTCTTGACTGAGCGTGCCCCATTCTGCCTGAATCCTCATGACCGCCACTCTGGGAGGGGCCTGAGGACACTAAGAGCCCGGGGGTCAAGCACCTTGCAAGGTGGGGGACAAGAGCAGGCTCGGACCGCCCAGGGGGGAAAGGATTCAGTATTCCCATGACTGGCCCCTTACAAGCAATGAGTCACCACATTTAGAATGAAGACAAAATCCAAAACATCACTTTAAATGAAGTCACCCCTCATGTTTCAAGGAAATTAAGGCTCTAAGATAGGGTAAGGAGCTGCCCTATGTCACACGGCTTGTTGGCATCTCGGGAAATTATTTTCTTCCTTTTTGTCTTTTCTCTGTCCCTCGGCAAGTATTTATTAAGGCCCTTGTCTTAGGCGGCAGCATAGAGAGGAGGATAGAAACACAAGTGAAATAAGTCAAGCAGAGAAAGTCAATTATCATATGGTTTCACTTATTTGTGGAACATAAGGAATAGCATGGAGGACATTAGGAGAAGGAAGGGAAAAATGGGGGGGGGATTGGAGGGAGAGATGAACCATGAGAGACGATGGACTCTGAGAAACAAACTGAGGGTTCTAGAGGGGAGGAGGGAGGGGGGATGGGTTAGCCTGGTGATGGGTATTAAGGAGGGCACGTACTGCATGGAGCACTGGGTGTTATATGAAAACAATGGATCGTGGATCACCACATCAAACACTAATGATGTATTGTATGGTGACTAACATAACAATAAAATTAAAAAAAAAAAAAAGAAAGAAACAGATTTGAATCAGCCTGTCTGGTTTGAACCTGGCCTCCACTATTGATTAATTGTGTTACCTTGAGCAAGTTACTTAACTTCTTGCCCACTAGTGTCCCATCGGTAACATAGGGATGTAAGGATTCCAGAACCTACCAGTGGGGTTCTTAGGAGGATGGCCTTGGGGAGCATGCGCAGTGCTCCAACACAGCCCAGGCACTCAGCAAGCTCCGCATCCCTGTCCTCTGTTACTCACTCCCGTGTCCCCACACCAGGCACAATGGGATGCAGAAGCTAGAGGAAGAGCTGCGTCAGCTTCGTGATTTTGCCAGGTGTCACCTTCACGTCTTCTTCCAGCCTCCTGTCCAGGCCTGTGCTCTCTGCCTGGGGAATGCACAGAGGACCAGCTCAGCTCCTGCCACCAGGAAGCCTGAGTCTGACAAAGACATTGACAAATAAACCATCGTAAGGCAGCATGGGGAATATTACCTGTGTGTTAAGTGAAAAATTATAATCCTCTATGAATTACCTCAAATAATAATGTATTGCTCAGTGCATTCCTTTCCTATTGCTGTGTAATGAATTCCCACAAACTTGAAGGCTGAAAACAACACCCATTCATTAGCTCACAGCTCAGGATGGCAGATGTCTGGGTGGAATGAGCTGGGTTCTCCTGCCTGGGTCTCACAGACCGGGGCTCCTATCTGGGGACCCTGGGGAAGAATCCATCCCCAGGCTCATTCAGAGACAGAACCCAGTTCCTTATGGCTGTGAGTCTGCAATTCCCATTCTCTGCTGGCTGCCACCTGGGGCCACCGTCAGCTCCTGATGGCCACTGCATTCCTTCCCATTTTGCTCCCTCTGCCTTCAAACCAGCAACATCATGTCCTCTTATGTGTCGATACACAAAATAATTCACATGGCCATGCGTAACTTAAAGGGGGCGGGAAGCTCCATCCCAGCATGGGGCCAGGAGAGAGGAGCCTGGACGTCTTTGGTGACCAGCACTAATGACTGCCATTAGGTAGTGAGTCACCAAAGAGAAAGCAGTAAGTGTGAGCATCCACTCTGTGCTGGGCTCTCTGTTGGGGACCGTATTAGTCAGGACTCTCATTTGTAAGAGAAAGAAGAAAGCTCACTGAAAGGAGCTCTAGGGAGACCCCAATACTAGGTCTACAGCCAGAAATGAGCCCAGTTGGCTTACAGAGTCCACAGAGGAATTGCAGGACTCTGTCTCTGGGACTGGAATCAGAGACGCAGCTCCATCCAGACTCTCCATCTACCTCCCAGCTCTGCTCATGCACATTCTGGGTTTGCCTGCTCCTCCAGCAGAGACAGAACTGCTGGAGGCCACAGTGGGGACTTCAGTGGGATGAGAGAGCAGCTTTCTCCCTGTTCTCATCTATTAATCCCAGGGAAGGACATGGACTGGTCCACCCTGGGTCCCATGCCCATCACCAGTGCCATAGCAGGGAGCTAAGAACTGGCCTGAGATGGAGTTAAAGAACAAGGTCTACAAGCAGGAAAAAAAAAAAAAAAAGAAAAGAAAAAGAAGATAAAAGGAACACCAAGGCTCCTACAGTCACCCCAGTTGCTTCGTGTTTATTCTATCTCCATGAAAACTCGGCAGTAAATGTTGTAAATCCCACGCATCAGAGGCAGACGAGGGATGACAAGATTTGCACACATAATAACATTTGTTCACATCATAACAGAAGTGAGATTTAAAGTCTGTATTCCTCCAAAGCCTGTGCTCTTTCTGCTAAGCCAACTGAGATTCTTCTTGAAAGACTTTTTCTGAGTCCTTTCTGCATGAACAGGCCCAAGGAAAACGTTTGGGAGAACATGTCCTGTACACTGTATCCCAATAAAATTTGAATCCATGTTTGGGAGTCTCAGAGAGGGGTCTGTATTCTAAAACATGGGATTCTTTTTATAATCACTGCCCCAAAGCACAGCCCAGCCCTGGTGTTTGTCTTCATTCCTTCACTCTGGACCATGTGGGCCAAATTTCCTCTTGGGTTTGCCAAGAGCGCAAGTAACACACTCAAAAATACATCACCTCAACAGGGGGAGATGTGTTGCTTTTAATCAAAGGAACACTGATGTCAACAGGAACCCTGGAGGCAAAGTTCTGGCTAGTGGCTCAACCTACTCTCAACTCAAAAACCTCCTGGCTGTCACCACTGGGTCCGGACACCACAGGCACCCCCCGCTTCCAGCTTCTGACCTCAGAGTGCAGGCGGGAGTGGGGAGACACAGAGGTGGCCCTTTTGCCAGAGAAATGGCCTCCAACACCAGCCTCTGATGTTAACCTCTGAGACTCTGTTTTATGCATAACAGAAGCCGCCCCTGGGCGCCGCCTATTGCTGCCAAAGTCAGCTACGGCTGGACATTAGGCAACAGGGATTTGAAACAAGCCATGGCCATTTCAACCTTGGCTCTGCCATCATGAGCATGTTCCTAGGACAGGAACGGAGGGAACATTCGGGAAAGATGTGATTCAGTGTTGAAGCCAGGTAACAAGGGGTCAGGAAAACAGCGAGTCTGCTCAGGAATTTCCCATAACCCCTTGGGCCAGGAGCAAAGAGTATTTTTCCCTGGTTACCTGTGTCCCTTATTGGATTATGCCAGTCTGAACAGTGAGAAGGAAAAGATGAAATGTTCTTTATCTAAAAATGCTAAAAAGGAGTCCCAGACTACTATGAAAGTGCTAGGTCACAAGACAAACAAGGGCAGGGTCTGCTACCAGCACGATGCTCAGGACTTTCTTTAGTGGTCATGGGGGAGACATTACATCTCTGGACGGGGATGACATAGCATGTGTCCTAGACTCTACTGACAGCCACTTTGTGACCACATGGGGACCCGGCTTTAGGATGGAGCTGATGGCATGTGTGTCAGTGCAGGTTTAACCAAAGAAGCAGAACCAGAAACAAAGACAGAGTAAGGGATTTACTATAATGAATTGGCTGACACAGTTGTGGAGGCCAGACAAGAAAGCCCAAAATAGTAGGGCAGGCTGTCAGGAAAGGCAAAGTAAAACTCACAGGATGGGCAGAAGCTGCTCCACAGGCAAAATTTCTTCTTCTCCAGGAAAGTTCTTCTTCTTTATCAGTTCTGCTCTTAATATAATTCAACTAATTGAGTCAGGCCCACCCAGAATATCTAGGATAATCTCCTTTCCTTTAAGTCCACTGATTATGGACTTTAATCACACCTACAAATACCTTCACAGTAACACCTGGATATGTGTTTGACTGAATAACTGGGAACTGTAGCCTAAAAGAGTTGACACATCAAAAGACCATCACAGTATGGAATAGGGAGAGAGGAAAAGATGATTTCTTAATGGCTTCATTGAGTCCCTAGATCAAACCATGCCTGAACTGCACTACCTCTGTACTTTCCAGTTGCACTTTCCATAAATTCAGCCTTTGGCATCTCAAGCTGTGTTTTCTGTAACTTGCAGCCTGCAGTCCTGACTGACACAAGAGGGACCCAAAACAAGGAAGTAACAGCCTCATTCTGACCAAACCTCCCAAGAAGGGTTATGTTCCAGTCTGGGTCCCAGATAGTGTGAAACACATTGTCACACACCAGGGTGAATAAAGGGGTGGTCACTGCTACTCAGAGGAAGATGTTTATTGAACACATGCTCGTGTTGGCCCCGAGCTCTGGACACAAAGACACAGAGGGGACACTTGCTCTGCCCGTGGGGGATGGGTAAGCAAGCAGACGGCAGCCAGAGTGGACAATGCCTGGCAGAGCAGAGGAGAGTACAGGGCCCATGGGAGCCTGTGCAGGCAGCAAGGACCCAATCCAGCCTCTGTGCGTCAAGGCAGGCTTCCTGGAGAAAGTGACGTTTCTGCTCTGTCTGGAAGGGTGAGAAGCAGCAAACCAGGGAAGCGAGGTGAGGGAAAGGAGCTCCAAGAAGAGGGAATGGCAGGGCGCCTGGGTGGCTCAGTTGGTTAAGCGACTGCCTTCGGCTCAGGTCATGATCCTGGAGTCCCGGGATCGAGTCCCGCATCGGGCTCCCTGCTCAGCAGGGAGTCTGCATCTCCCTCTCCCACTCCCCCCTCTTGTGCTCTTTCTCTCTCTCACTCTCTCAAATAAATAAATAAAATCTTTAAAAAAAAAAAAAGATTTAAAAAAAGAAGAGGGAATGGCATATTTGAAAGGGGACGGCCACTTGGGTATGGTGACGATGAGCCCTAGTGACTGCTAATACTGTGTGATTGGGAGCAAGTCCCTTAACTTCTCTGGACCTTGGTGCCCCAAGGGATAATGATAGAATAACTGCATTAACACCTGCCCTGGTCTTGGAACCGAGTTAGGTATCATCGTCGCATCACCATCATCACCAGGAAAGGACTGGGAGGGGATGGTTGGAGACCTCAGACAGTCTTCCAGGCCTCGGGGAGCCAGGGAAAAACTTGAAACAGGGGGCTGGCAAGAGTGGATTTCTGTTTTAGAGATGCTTCCTGGGAGGAGAAAGGACTCCAGGCGGTGAGAAATTAGTCATGATACGACTGTGGGAAAGAATCTTGCAGCCCACTTCCACAGAAAAGGGTCCAAGACATGGGGATGGATGTTTGCTCTGAAAAAGAGCTGAATCTGTCTGGAGGGTCAGTGATGAGTGCTTGGGGACAGACTGAGGAATGAGGGTGGCCTTAGGGTCTACAGGGTTGTTCTGGGAAAGAAGTTACCAGAGTTTTAAGCTAAGGATGGCAGCACCAGGGAGTCATCACAACTCACCTTCATCTTGGGAAGAATTTGCATTAGCCAGAGCCACCGTGAGCCTGGAAGGTGACTCCAGCAGGCAATGAGCTCCCCATCCACGGAGGTATGCAAGCAGACTCTGGATGCGCACTTGACGGGGAGACGGGAGGAAGCTAAAGTACAAGGCAGGTTGGTGGACATCATTTCTAAGTTCCTCCCACCTTAATCTCTGTTATTCTGAATCCCAGAGAGATAGCGTGGTAATTTCCTATGGCTGCATAGCAAATCACCACAAACTGAGTGGCTTAAAACAGCACCGTCTGTCTCAGAGTTCTGGAAGTCAGAAGTCCACCCTGGGTCTCAATAGGCTAAAATCAAGGTCTGGGCAGGGCTGCGTTCCTTTCCGGAAGATCTAAGGGAGAACCTTTTTCCTTGCCTTTTCCAGCCTCTGGAGGCTTCCTGTGTTCCTGGGCTGTGGACGCTTCCAAGGTCTTCAAAGCCACCAGAACAGGATCTTCCAAATTCTCTCTCGCTCATGCACCACGCCCGCCCCCACCTCCACACCCATCCCACTTCCCCACAGCATCCCTCACCTGGCAGATGGAGCCTCCTCAAGGCCGGCCCTGAAGTCTGCTGTCCCGCCATCACCCCATGTGCTCTGGGGACTTAATGGGTCTCTTTCCTCTCCTCCACGAGGACAGCAGCTCCATCTCCATCACTCACCATCTCGTCCGTCCTGTCCATCTCAGGCCTGCCCACTGCAGACTCTCATTAAATCCTGCGTGCCCAGGGGCGCCTGGGTGGTTTAGTCAGTTAAGCATCTGTCTTCGGCTCAGGTCATGATCCCAGGGTCCTGGGATCGAGCCCCGCGTCGGGCTCCCTGCTCTGTGGGAAGCCTGCTTCTCCCTCTGCCCCTCCCCCTCCCCATGCTCGCTCTCTCTCTCCCAAATAAATAAATAAAATCTTTAAAAAAATACTATGTATCCAGTGAATCAACAAAGAATCCATAAGAAAATGACAGGCATCTGCTGAGAGTCATCTGCTCGTTAGCTCTGGCTGTTCAGCTGTCCTGGCATAACGAGGTACCAACATGGGGCTCATGCTCTAACACACTACGGGGGGTATGGGAGAAACCTTTGCAGGAAGACAAAGACTTTAATCTGTCGGGGAATTCCTGCCTGTATTTTTAACAGTCACCTTCCAAATGGAGCAGCCTGATGCTGAAGGAGCCGTGGAAGGGGCTGGGGCCGGGGGTGCAAAGCAGGGAGCAGCAAAGGACTTGGTGAGCAGAACACACATGTGGGTTCCGGAGGTCTGCCCGCACCCAGGGCAGGGGGTCTCTGGCAGCTGGGGTGGAGCTGATTCAGCTGTGCTCTGTGCCTTCCTCCCGGGCTCGTGCCTTGCTCTGAGTAACAGGATGATTAACCATCAGGTTAACTCGGCAAAACCTTCCTTACGGATCTGCTCTGCCCAGCTGGCTGCAGGCTGCTGAACAGAAATGAGAAAGGAGTGGTAAGGGAGGGAGATGAGGTCCTGTCCGCTCAGTGTTTGGGGCTTGGGGTGCAGCAGAAGCCTCCGATTTGCCCAAGAAGCTCCATCAACAGCCACACACAGTATCCCAAGTGAAACGAAGCTGGCTCTCCCAGCAACATGTTTATCTCGACTTCAAACGCCCAGACAACTCCTGTTTTCCGGCAACATCCCCTCAATCTGAATGGTCCAAGGACTTGTTTTGGTGCATGGGCTTGTTTTTCCTCCCTGTCCTGAATTGGAACCTCGTTCGATGAACCCATCCAGAAGCCCCAAGCATTTCAAAGCTGGCCTGGCATCCCTGGCTGGGCTGGCTTGTCCGACAGGGAGGCCCACGCCCTAGGCACCTCCATGGAGGGCGTGAGGAGACTCCTTCATCCAGAAGAAAACCACCTCTCTGTTGGCCGCTTGCCCCCCCTCCAAACACACATAGTCCTGCCCTGTCCAAGAGGGTGCCCCAGAGACTGTCCCCAGGTCATCTCAGTAAAGGTGTTGAGAGAACACACGCTCACCTGCCAAAGAGAGGGGGCATGGCTGGGATCCCCACCCAGGGCTTTAACACCAGAAAGCTAGGTAAGTAAAACCTCAGGCCTGGAAGAGACCAGAGTGACGCTACTCTGTTTACGGACAGGGGCTGCGTGGGCACCGGATCAGGATGGGATTTCTCAGGGCAGACACAGCAGGGGGAGGCTGGAGCTGGACACACACCTTCCTACCCTCCCTCACAGCCAGAGAGGTCGGAGACAGACAGACAGACACAGGCCCAGATTTCTGTTCCTTATTAGCCTTGTGATCTTGACCAGTTTCACGTCCCCTGAGACTTTCTGCTTCCTCGTCTGGGAAATGGGAATAACCCCACTCATCCGATGGGGGCTCACGGCGTGTGTGACCACCGCTGGGACGACTGTCACAGAAGTGGTGCCAAGTGATGCTCTTCTTCTCTCTGACAGCTCCTTGTCCTTGATGGTTCCTTAGTCTTGCTTGGGCAGCCCAGGGACCCCAACTCATCTCTGACTCTGAGGGTCTCGATCCTCACAGGGGAATAGAAGGATGGATGAGGACAGGGCACAAAGTCCTGTCTGGACCCGTTCACCTCCAGCTTCGTGACCTTGGACAAGTTGCTGGAACTCTCTGAGCCTCCATTTTCTCACCTGGAAAATGGGACTGTTCCTGGGGTAGCTGCCTCACAAGGTCACATGTGGGAATGGAGACTCTGACATTAGCTCGGCGTCTTTTATTCCTCACTACGGGCCTCTGAGCTAGGTGCTTTTATCATCCCCATTGCACATATAACGAAAGGGAGGAAAGAGCCAAGAAACCTGCCCAAGGGCATCACCGGAAGTGGGCAACCATGCGCTGCACTGAGCATCTAAGGAGAGAGCTTATCTTTTAACTGGTTGTCTGTACCGAGCCCTGCGTGCAGAGCCTAGTCACTAAAAGAGCCGCACATTTGGAGAACCAGCCCTTCCTGAGCGTCTGTTTTGTACTGGGGCCTGTGCCGGGGGCTTGAAGTGGCCGGGCTTCAGGGTGGGGGATGCTCACACATCCCCCGCCAACCACATGCACCAGCATGAGCCCCACTTCCAGATGCAGAGACACAGCTGCTCAAAGGGAAAATGACTGCCCAAGCTCCTGCTGGGTGGTCAGTGGTGGGTGGACGCTGACACCAGGCTGCCTGACCCCAAGCCCTGGATCCCTGGCACTCAGTCCTCCCTTCCAGCCCCTTTCCCTCCCCCACTTCTGTTCTGGTTTACGACAGGGTCCCCATTCTAACTGCAGAGCCTGACTGCCCACCCCTCATCCATCCTTGTCTTACTCTTGTCCCCTGCCCCCTCATCACCCGGTCCTACCATTTCTGGAAAGCCCCTGCCCGGAGAGAAACTTCTATTGGAAGTGTGGGAGAGGAAGGGCCTGCGCGTCCCTTCCAGGTGTCCCACACACCCCCAAGCAGCCCCTCCTCTCACACGGGGGCGGGGGGTGGGGGGAGCTTTAGGTCTGAAAGGATCCAGTGTCCAGGGCCAGGCGGGCGTGCTGGATGGCCTTGGCTGGGCCCCACAGGAAGCGGACGGAGGAGGCGTGGAGGACCACCCCCAAGCCGCTGCTTTATTAAAGGGGTGCCTGCCATCGGCCACAGGACGCAGTGAGCCTGCCTCTGTACCATGACGCCCAGGCTGCTCGCCCTGCTGTTGCTTCTGGCCGGGCCCCCCTCCTCGAAGCCGGCTCCCCCGACCTGCTACTCCAGGATGCTGAGCCTGAGCCGGGAGGTCACTGGTGACTTCCAGAGCCTGCAGGCCATGGAGCCCTCGGTGAGTCCCCTCCCGCTGCCCTCCGCGGACCAGGAGGTTCAATTCAAACCCAGTTCTCCAAAACTTGCCTTTGGACCAGGAAAAAAAAAAAAAAACACTGTTTTTCTTTTCTGGCCAATGTTAATCTCAAGGGTTTGCATTTTATTCCCATCCTATTAAATACGAATGACAGTGGTTTGCATCTTTTTTTAAATACAAGGAAAATCTATCAGAGACATCACAATGCCTTGTCTTTGTTGGTAACTTGCCAGCAACAACCAGAGGGTCTGTTGTAAAATGTAAAAGAAAAAAAAAAGGAAAAAGCAAAACCTTGCCGAGGAGCCTGGAACTCCTGAGTTAAGGAGGAACACAGAATTAAGGTTATTCTCTTCGGAAGCCTGGTGATTATGAGTGAGAGCTAAGGGGGGACCCCCCCAGGACGTGCCCTCCCCTTACTGCTGTTTACCCTGGGCAGACAGCTCAGCCCCTGCATCTCTGTGTGCTGAGCTGTGAAAGGGCTGGTCCAGTGCCCGCCACCAGCTTCGGGAGCTGCGAGGGGGAAGGCGTGATTGAGACGTGGTAGGCACAGTGCTGGGCAGGGGACACCCCAGGAATGTGAGCACTGTAAGCGCTGCTCTTTTCACAAGCAGACCCACGGCTCAGGGAGGCAGGTTCCGGAGGGGTTGCCCAGAACCAGAACCCAGGCCCCCCTGGCTGCTTATCCAGGATAGAAACAAACGAATTAAACTTCATTAAAAGCTTTGATACAATTTGGGGCGCCTGGGGACAGGGGGGCTCAGTTGGTTGAGCATACAACTCTTGATTTCAGCTCAGGTCATGATCTCAGGGGCATGAGATTGAGCCCCGCGTCGGGCTCTGAGCTCAGCTGGAAATCTGCTTAAGATTCTGTTTCTCCCTCTGCCACTCTCCCACTTAAAAAAAAGCTTTGATAAAATTTAAAAGTGTCTAAAAGTGTCTCTTCACCCCTTGTAAACGCTTCAAACAAAATGTAATGTTTCTCAGATGTGGGGTTATGATACCCTAACATCTTTTCTTTTCTTTTAAAACTTAAATAATGTGTATGTTTTTCCTAATTATAAAAGGCATACATAGTAGGCCCCCCTATCCGCGGTCCACAGTGACCCGGAAGCAGATGAGCCCCCTTCTGACGTGGTCAGAAGGTCAGTGGTAGCCTAACCCTACATCACATGCCTACGTCACTCATCTCCTCACGTGGCACTTTATCATCACAAATCATCACAAGAAGAGTGAGTACAGTACAGGAAGAGATTTTGAGAGAGAGAGGTCACATTCACATAACTTTTATGATAGTACGTTGTTATAATTGTTCTAGTTGATTAGTAGTAATTGTTGTTAATCTCTTAATTGTGCCTGATTTATAAATTAGGCTTTATCTAGGTTTGTATGTATGTATAGGAACAAACATACTATATATAGGGTTCAGTACAATTTATGGTTTCGTGCACCCACTGGGGCCCTGGACTATATCCCCTACGTATAAGGGGGAGACCACCATACTTTATAGACCAGTTGGAAAATGCACAAAGGACAAAGAAGAAAATAATATTACTTGCCATTTTACCACCTAGAGGTAACTGCTGCTATAACATTCTGGGGGAGAGTATTTCGGCTTTCCGACTAAGCATAGGTATTCAAATCTGTGTGTGTGTGTGTGTGTGTGTGTGTGTGTGTGTAAGCAAATCAGATCAAGGAAGGCCCTAGTGCTGTCTGGCTGTTGGAGGGTGGCAGAGAGCCTTCTGTGAGCAACTGAGGGTGCATCCCTGTGGGTGTCATCGTAACCCATCTTCCCTTCTGCAGGAGCCATGTGTGAGATACCTGCCCACACTCTACCTGGATATACACGTAAGACAGTCTTCCTGGGGCGTCTGGGTGGCTCAGTCGTTAAGCATCTGCCTTCCTTTCGCTCAGGTCATGATCCCAGGGTCCTGGGATCGAGCCCCGTGTCAGGCTCCCTGCTCGGCGGGAAGCCTGCTTCTCCCTCTCCCACTCCCCCTGCTTGTGTTCCCTCTCTCGCTGACTCTCTCTCGGTCAAATAAATAAAAAATCTTAAAAAAAAAAAAAAGATGGTCTTCCTGCCTGGGGAGGCAGGGGGGTGGGGAGAGACCCCGTGCGGAAGGATGCAGGAGTCCCCAGCTCCTGTCCCTCTGGCCACTGACCTCCCCCACGATGCCCTCCCTGCTGTCCACTCCCAGAATTACTGTGTGCTGGCCAAGCTGCGGGACTTCGTGGCATCGTCCCAGTGCTGGAAGGTGGCCCAGGTGGATGCCTTGAAGGACAAAGTGCGGAAACTGTACACCATCCTGAACTCATTCTGCAGGAGAGTAAGTGACACTACTGAAAATACCTTTTCTGCTTGTTATGACCCAAGATGCTCAGGGCTTTTAAAAGAGGAAGTCTGGGGGTGTGGGGAGATGAGGAGGAGGAAGAGAAACATTTTGGGGTGCTTCCAGCTCCCAAAGCCCTAGGCCCTCCCTTCCATGAGCTCACACTGGTGTGGGGACAACACCCAGGACCACATGCTAACCATATAAAACAGACTCTGCTAGGAGCCAAATGGAGTAGAGGTTTGGGGGGAGAGGGCCATGAATTCAGGGAGCTCCAGAGTGCCAGGGTCGGAAGAGACTTTCTAGG